ACCATTCAATCACCATACATCACATCCCATCCACTTAGATTCACCCATCACAGTCGTCTTAGTTACCTTGTCTTGTTTTTAATTTGTTTAGAAAATAAATTTCTTACCTTTTATAAACCTGACTCTGTCTGAATTGATACAAAGTGTGTTTGATCGCTGAAAAAGCAAAGAATCCTAGAATCTTCTGATTAAACATTCGAAGACCAATAAGGTTGACATCCTTCATTTATGTAGAATATTACAGCTTATTGGTTGTAAGTAAAGGTAATATATTAAGCTTAAAAGCTACTATATTTACCCCTACAACTAGTTCATGCATTTATTACATCAAGACTGGATTGCTGTAATTCATTACTCTCAGGAAGTCCACAGAATGTAGTTAAAAGTCTTCAGCTTGTCCAAAATGCTGCAGCTAGAGTTCTGATGAGAATTAAAAAAAGAGATCATATCTCTCCTGTCTTTGCCTCCCTACATTGGCTACCTGTTAAATTCAGAATAGATTTTAAGATCCTTCTTCTCACATATAAAGCTCTTAATAATCAAGCTCCATCATACATCAGTGATCTGATTGTTCCATATGTTCCTAACCGAGCACTTCACTCTCAGACTGCAGGTTTACTGGTGGTTCCCAGAATATATAAAAATAGGATGGGAGGCAGATCTTTTAGTTATCAGGCTTCTCTCTTGTGGAACCAACTCCCAGCTTTAGTCCGTGAGGCAGACACCTTGTCTACTTTTAAGAATAGGCTTAAAACATTTTTATTTGATAGGGCCTATGGTTAAAATCTGAAGTTAGCCTAAATCTGGACAAGTGGGGGAGAGGGAGGAGGCGTGCACAGTCGGCAAAGATGACTCTCCCTTGCCCTGCCTCCAACATGCCTCCATCTAAAAGGCTAGGTTATCTAGAGTTGTATCTGTAATTATGCTGCTATAGGCTTAGACTGCTGGAGGACATACTGACCACTTTCCACACTCGACTACTTTCTTCTACAATTTCTCTCAACTGTATTATTTCCTGCAATTTCGGCTGTTAACTTTACTTTTTCTCTAAGTGATTTTTCCTCCAGAAGAAGTTACAACGATGTTCTGCTGAGCTGTGGTGGCCTCATGGAGGGGGCCATCGGCTTGAACACTGTTGCTAACCATTTAATCATTCTCCCTCTCCTGATAATAACATTTTACTTTCTTTGATATTGAATGTGCTACTACTAGTTTACCCGTTTAATCATAGATTCACTAGGATAACTACAATAAAGTTTATCCCTCACCAAATAGAGTAATTACTGAGAAATCACAATGTAACCATAGAAACATTACTTGGTGTGTGTGTGTGTGTGTGTGTGTGTGCGCCTGCGTGCGTGTGTGTGTGTGTGTGTGTGTGTGTGTGTGTGTCTGTTTGCGCTGTCTTCTCGATCCCCAGTGAGTCGTAGAGGATGGCTGCTTATACTGAGCCAGGATCCTCTGGAGGTTTCTTCCTGTTAAAAGGGAGTTTTCCTCTCCACTGTCGCTAAATGCTTGCTTAGTATGAGGATTGCGGTAAAGTCACTGACACCAGTCAGTAACTTGATGCAATTTGCTGGGTTCCTTAAATAGGATTTATTTGTCTGATTGTCTTAATGAACTGAGCTGCATTGGAATGTTTACCATGTAAAGTGCCTTGAGACGGCTCTTGTCGTGATTTGGCACTATATTAATAAACTTGAATTGAATTCTGTTGACTCATGATGAATCATTTCTGTGACTGCAGTGGTATGAAAAAATTATGAAAGTGTCTTTTTCTTTTACATGTAACCAGTGTTGACCCTGGTCAACTCTACCTTTGGATGTGATTCTGTTTGGGGTGTGCCCAGAAACATTGTATGGTATATTTATGACTCCACTATGTTTCTTTTTCTACATGTATGCTGACAACACTGGCTAACTAACTCACAGACATGACTTTGTTAATTACTATCAAAATATAATCTAGTCTGGAAGCAATGGCTCATGGGAGTTTTAACTTAATACGTAAAGATGAGATTGTCTATGGGGTTGGAGAAACTATGCAGATTATGGGTCACAGGGGCCCTCTGCCTCACTGTGCCTGCCCAACTGGTATCATGAGAAAAATATCCAATCTTATACCCTCTGACGGCATCTGAAGAGGAACTGTTAGATGTGTATGTGTACTGAAGGAGGTCACTGGTGACCGGTAGACAGCTCTGAATGTGAGACAGCACCCCTCTGTCTCTCTCTTTCTCTCTCTTCCCCAAAGCACATCATGAAGATTAGAGTGAGTTCCCTTGGCCTGTAGTCATTCAGACAGGATGGAGGATTTTTTTAGGAAGGGGTATGACTGCTTATCTTGTTGGGGTGGGGATAGAAAAAGAGAGTTTGAAGATGGAGGAGGAAATATCATCCAACTGGTTAGCACTCAGTCTGAGAGTCTGGCCTGGAATGTTATCAGGTCCTGCAGCTTTGTAGGGGTTGATCCTCCTGAGAGGTATGTGTACCTGGGCTGCTGAGACAACTAGTGAGTGTGGGTGGGGGTGAGTAGCCAAGGTGTGTGTGCTCTGAGGAGGTGGAGGTCTCGAAGCAGGTGGAAAATTGATTGGGTTAATTTGGCAGGTTGACGGAGGAGCTGGAATTGCTCCAGAAGTTGGTTCAGATGTGCCTGGGGTCAGCAGGGGAGTAGGAACCTCTCTTCTATTTTCTTTGTTGCTCTTATACCCTTCTCCAGTAGATCCAGCAGAGATTTGTCAGATAACAGTAACCTTCTTTAGGGGTGTGGCAATGGCAGCAGGTGACATTTGATACTTTACACCGAATGCTGATGTAAATCCTACCTATGTTATCTATTCTGCACCAAGTCTACCAGAATCAATCTTAGGAAGAATCCTTGTCATTTCAGACCAAAACAAGTGTAGCCTACTTACTCAGATTATTGTCTCTCCTCTTTCCAGCATGATTTTGAAGGTGAAGCAGCACCATTTAGGCTGCAGAGTAAGTCGTGAGCCTGAGACGAGGATGGAGAAGGAAGCAGCGATGTAAAATGGCCATGGTGATGCGTTCAGGACCCACACGCAGACTAAAGTGGCAGACATAGCATGTGATAACCCTCTTGGAATCTGGAAGAGGTTGAATGACATCTATCGGGATCATCAGTAACTCAGGTGGTGTTTGAGGGGTGTCTGGCTCCTCCCTTGGGGAAATTGGGACTTCCCACCTCTGCTGGGACCTCTTCACTCTCTTACAGCAGTTAGGAGGCATAGCTGTTGTAGTAAGTAGATGTTTGTTGACATTTGAATGGCTCTTATAAAAGTATAAACAAATAAATAAGCAATCTTTATCTACAATGAGGAAAATAAGTAGAACAGAACAGAACAGAACAGAACAGAATAGAATAGAATGCCTTTATTGTCATTGTACAAGTACAACAACATTTTAAAAAGTGGTGCCATCTCCTATGGTGCATAAAAATGATAAAAAAAAACAATAAAAACAAGAAATAAAATAAATGAGTAAATAAATAAAACACATTCCACATATGCACTCACATTCTCATCCTCATTCATGAATACATTATTGCACGGCACATCCTATTACACAGTTTAGAAGGATAAGGATGAAAGTCATATCTACACAGTGTTTAATGCACTTGCTGCTTTTGCATAGAAACGGTTTTTCGTCTGTGTGTTTTATGACTTGAAACATCTCCCAGAGGGCAAAAGTTCAAAGTGCAAGTGACCCAGATGGGGTGAGTCCCTCAGAATGCACCTCTACAAGGGGAATTTCAGACCCCTCCATGATTTCTAAGTGGTGGAACTTGCAAAATCACAGGGTGTTAAAATTCTTATGTTTCTCGCTGTATATTGTTCACATTTGTTACTGACTGACAGTGTTGTTAACTCTTTAGGCTGTATAATGTAACACACCTTCTTGAAAGGGAGATGTAATGAAAGTTGCTCTTGAAAACATCTACCTGCAGGGGGCGCTCAAGGACATTCAGGCTATTACAAAGCACATGACATGCAGCTGTAATAGGGAATAGTGGTACTCTTGACAATGTTTACTGATAACCTTTTAAACTGACACCAGGCAGTTTAGGCTTTTAAACATCCCTTATTGTCCATTTTAAAGTCCCACTAGTTGTCACACACACTGATGTGTGTGCGAAATTTGTTCTCCGCATTTGACCCATCCCCTGGGGGAGCGGTGAGCTGCAGGGACAGCCGCGCTCGGGAACTATTCGGTGGTTTAAATCACTGTTTAACTCCCCTCACCCTGTTGTGTGTCCATATTAAAGGTATACTTACAAGTGCAATAGCATTATCGTGAGGACTGCATCCACTTTGAATCCATCTTTGTCTCTGAGATCTCACATTCCCGCTGTTGACTCTTGTTAATGTCGCCATTCCAGAGAGACTCAAGTTTCAAATATGGTATTCACAGTCGTTCACTTATCCATCATCTCCTGTAGAAATTCTGACAACAATCCTAAACATTTTCATCTGCCTGGCCTTCCTCTGAATAGCTGCACTATCCTGCCTCCTGAATGGGAGTATGCGGCAGACTGAAGCAAGCATTCTGTTTCTAGTTTCAGGTCAGTGTGAGCGTGTGCCATGCTTGCAGGCAGCGATGGGATTCAGGCAAAACAGTTCTGTACAGTAATGAGGAACTTGTGCCAGTGATGACAGATGATGGCTAAGTGGGTATCGACCCTCTAACCCAACCTTTAGCTCTAGATGACCTGCCAGAACCTGGAAATGTCTTTAAAGCCTTCCAACCAGCTCTGTAACAGCTCTGGGATATTTTTAAATTAGGTGGAAAACGCTCTGAGGCATTAAACTGAGTAAAAATGAGGTTAATTGTGGAGCTGTTGTTGTTTTTTCCCCAAAACTATATCAAATAAATGCAACAACTTCAAATGATAAATGCATTGTATTATATTTCTCACGGGTCATAGGCATCATGTGTGCTAGCCACGGGCAACACAACAGAACAGGAAACAGAACTCAGAGTGTTTTGGGATCAGACTTTTAATTGGACTTAAATTCACATAAATAACATTGGTTCATATATATTTTGTATATGGTACAACTTTATATAATATATATTTCCCCCCTTTGATTTACATTCCTCTCTGACTAAAAGTATCTCACACATCTATGGAAACAGGAAGCTTTGCATGAGGGCAAAACTGCTCTTTTTGTGCTGTTTATTAAGGTCCCGGTGCCAAAACGGAGAGGAGAACTTTTCTTTTCAGTTGTAAAAAAACAAAACAAACAAACAGAAAAGTCCAAGTTGCACAAACATGAAAGCAAAGAAAAAAGGAGAATCTATTGCATTGTATCTAGGGTTTTAACACTGCACTACAAGGAGTGGGTAGCTAATAAAAGTCATTCACTGTAAATATTTTACTGTATTGACTCATGACACAAAAAGGAGCACTGCAAACAATCTGATATGCATGGCAATGACGATTTAGTTTTTCTTTTTCATCAGAAGAAAAGCAAATTAAGAAAAAATGTTTGACTTGATAAGAAACCTCACCATAAAGATAAGGAAGAAGGTATGAACCTGGAGGAAGGTCACGTAATCATGCAGCGACCCTGCAGAGCACACTCGTACAGATGAGTTGAGCTTGTCAGCTCGCATCATAAATCAGCAAACGGTTGAGTCCGACATCATTCAACGAGATGAGAGGATATCTGGAAGTCAGTTAACATTTTGTTATTTCCCCAACAGAAACAGAGGTTGTCTCTAACAATCAATAAAAAAAAAAATTGACTCGTATATCAAACAGCTCAATCAGTGAACACCGGCAGAGAAAACCACTGATGTTATACTGCCCACCCACAGCTGAGAGGTTTTAAACTGCTGGATCTTTGCAGCTCATCAAACGTTAACCACAACGTTACTTATACGTCTAACGGCGAGTGGTTTAAATCAGTGGGCGCATGCAGGCTGCTGTATCTTTGCTTTTGTCTGTCTGTCAAAACACAAGTGTTGCATGAAAATCAGCTTAATGTCATGGTTGCAACTTAATAGGTTTTAAAAAGACCACGAGGTTTCTGATCTGCCCGCAAATCTTTTGTCCTAACTTAAGTCAACTTTGAGCCACCCAGAACCACAGTATTTTACACATTTGATTGTCTAAATTAGCACTGCTACCTGAATCTCAAACCAAAACAACTGTCACCCATACAAGGACTTAAAATCCAAAACAAACAAATAAAAAAGTAAACAACAGCTCCAGCTGTAGCTGCATGTGAAGTGTTAACACACAAGGATCGGAGTTTATGGTGAGGTGGAAAAACAAACCAAACGCAGATCATGCATTGATGGCCTGAACCGGACAAGACTGTGTGTGTGTGTGTGTGTGTGTGTGTGTGTGTTCATAAGTTACAGAGGAAAACATAATCATGCCACAAAACTGCAACAAACAGTGAGTGCTAATCCTCATCCCTGAAAAGTCAGCAACACAGTGCTGACTTTTAAAAAAATATTTATTTTGTTCTTTTACTTAAAATCCTCATATTCATATATGATATATACAACCCTAACCCTTTACCACAGCAGAAAGCTTTATGGTCTGCCCTGGAAAGTGCAATGGCATATATATATATATATATATATATATATATATATATATATATATATATATATATATATATATATATATATATATCTGTATATATAAAATGGTTAATGCAGTTAACTTAATTTCCGATTAGTTATTGTTCTGTAACATTATTATGATCGGGAAAACACGATGAGTTAACACAACCAGTGCTTTACTTTTTCATCCTGCCACACACACTTCTTTACACACAGAGGGCCAAAAATGTCATCAAAAAGTGCAACCTGAATACTTTTATGTTTATAAAAGTCAACCATCTTTCTACCATGAATTTTACTTTTTTCTTATATTCATGAACCATTTATTAAACAAGTGGAGTAGTCACATGATGCAGACATGTCCCTGTGCTTTTAACACGCTTTTTAGGAGCAACAAGAAACAGAACGGAAGTTGTGACCCACACAAACTCAGCTTATGGGTTTAATTTAGGAAGAAGATCAAGGAGAAGATGCCAATAAGAAGCTGCCAAGAAAACGTGAACAGTGATATTATTTTAACAAGTGCATCACCAGTTTTTAAAATAATTTTTACTTTAAAGTTTATTGTATGCAAATGTATCCAAATGTATTTTCTGATCTTATCTAATACTGTAGGTATGTATTACACTAAAACTGCACATCCCAGAATGCACCAACTCATTGCTCCACCCTCAGCTGCTACAGCTCTTCTAGCCTCTGCTGCTGGGAAGGAATCTGAAAACACTGAGAAGAAACTCTGTTGCGGAGCATTGTGTTTAATGATAGAATAAACCTAAAGCAGATTTCACTCCTCTGTTTAACAGCACTGACGCTGAGAAAAAAGTTAAAATTTCTCAAGAAATTAGTTTAGTGATGAGGATAAGGATGACGAAAGGAAACATGCAACTGCAAATTTTCATCCTCGGAAGGAGCAATATGTAAGAATACTACAGTGAAATAATCACGTGGGAAGGAAGGAACTCCAGTGACCCGGAAGTTATTTCATTTATTCCTGAGAAGCCAGGGCATCTTTTCATTTTACTCTATTATCGGATAAAGAAGGCTAGAAGCTAACGTTGAGGTAACTGTGCTAACGGCTGTAAAACAATCTCAAGCTACTTTTTCAATTACCATCAACAATATATTACAGTGAAATGTATTTATCAACTTATCAAAACACTGCATATGATTCGTCTTCACTTGTCATCGAGACTCTTCTGGTACTGATCTGTAACTGGAAACCTCGGACCAATAGAGAGAAAGTGACTATATGCTTAGAAAAATGGGCCGCGGTAACCAAATTTAACCACAGGATGTCATTCTTACATATTGCACCTTTAAAGGATCTCCATGTTCACTGGAACAGAAAAATGTGATTAAAAGAATCAGATCATCACACAGGAGTCATTTCACTGATGTTCCTTCATCAGTCCTGAGAACTTCAGCGCCATCGAGTCTGCTCCAATTTATGCTTATCATATTATTTTTAGTTTTGTCTTAGTCTTTTAAAAAGAAAAATGTAATTTTTTATATTTATTATTTACTAAAGATATATTTTACTTACTTTTAACATTTATTTTCTCATAAAATTACATTAAACAAAATAAATAGACTCAAACAAAAGCATGTCTGTAGAATGATTAGACTTTGACTCTCATACATCTGAGAAAACAATTGCCCTCTCAGGTTCCTGATTAACACTTGACTTTTTCAGTTGCATCAGTACACTTGGATCACCTTCATTTCCCTGAAATAGAGCTCCGGGAGTTTACGTCACTTCTCCCGGCATGCAACAGTTCAAATCGAAACGGCGCCATCTTGGCAGGCAGAAGCCCACAGCTGGACTATTTGTTATTGTCAGAAAACTTAAACGGGAAATATGGTCGATTCCTGTTGTGCCCCAGGGTGCAGAACAGACGCGGACGACATAAGGGATGAGCCATCTACAGGATTCCCCAAGATCCGGAACGCCGCGAACGTTGGATCATTGTAATGAAACGCGCTAGTGACCGGGCTAAAATGAAACTGTGGGATCCCGAGAGTAAAGGTTTTCACTTATGCAGCGACCACTTCATATCGGGTACTTAAACCAATGTTTCCTCAACTGTGTATGGTATTTATTTTAAATGCTTTTATTATGATTCTTAGTGGGCTTCCTAAACTTATTTTGGCGTGGCTTTTTCTGTCTTATTACTCATAGCAACAAGTAAATGTCACGTAAAACGTTGCCTCGTGAGTTCTGTGTGCTGCCGTTTCCGTGTTTTATGATCACAGCAATTAACCGGCTAAGCTGTATTTAATTTTTAAGCAATGGTTGATCAGTTGTCAGATCACACATAAAAAGCACTTTGGATGGCTATTATCTGTCTCACCGAGACAGATCTCAGACAGATCCTGAGACGCTCCTGCCTGACATTTTTATTTTATTCACGGAAAACAATCAAACTAGTGATTTCTCTTGGCATTCAGTTTATACATTCAAACAGCACAGCACTCTATTTAAACTACTTACGTGTAAATCTGTTATTTGCCCATCCTTCCATCCGCTTAACCGGAGTCGGGTCGCGGGGGCAGTGGCCTAAGTCGAGAGGCCCAGACTTCCCTCTCCCCAGCCACTTGGGCCAGCTCCTCCAGGGGAATCCCAAGGCGTTCCCTGGCCAGGTCCGGTAAGAAGTCCGCTCTGACAGCTTCTGGCGTTTTTCAAAAGTATCCCAGGGGCACGGTAAGGGTCAGAGATGTTTATTCTATTTAATTTCTGACTATATAAAACAATTTCTTCGGTTTTAAAGTGTGAAGTAAACTCCGACGGAGTAAAATCCAAGCTGATCCCGTTCATTTTGTTTACCTTTGTTGCCTGCCAACATGGCGTCTACTCTCTGAGAGTCACGTGACGTCCGGAGCTCTATAGAGATGAGTTCAGAACTGATTGCTGAGCTAACAATTAGGGCCAAGAGAGGAGTGGAAAACTGCTGTCATAAACACTTCTAATGGCAAAGATGCCACAGTGTTAAACATCATTTTAAAAGCCTCCTGTCAATTAAATGTTATTCCTTCAGTTTGTGACTGAGTAAATGACCGTTGTGTTGTAAAGCACCTTGGGGGGCTTCTAGGACTATAAATACAGGCAAGTTCCCTTTCCATCATCACACATTATTTAAGTCAGAAACATTCATAAAGATCTAAACTTTGAATGTTGTGTTTAATTGTGAATGTTTTTTTAATTGCATCTTCCTCCACTCTTCATCATCTCTAAAGAAGAACAATAAATATCAGTAGCTCTCTGCAGTAGTCAGTCCCATTTGGTTTTCTTGTGTATTTGTTACTTTGCACTGTTCATTTGTTACAACTTCACACTTTGAACCGCTGGCATGAAGAGTTTCAACTTGGTCCTTTGCCCAGAGGTCATGTCAAAAAGAAAATAGGTTAAAGGAAATCTCAAATGGTTCTGGAAACCAGGAATCTAACCCAGCTCAGTGACAGAGCAAAGCTGCCTTGCCTCTGGGCACCAGATGAAAGTCACATGCACCAATGTTTTCAGTCAAAAATCTCATTAACTAATAGAGCTGCAAAAACACAGAATGGCTACAAACTAACAGGACCAACAGGTTTTAAATTTGGTGTGCATATTTCCAGCTCTTCCTTAGACAGCAACCCGTTCTCTCGCTCTCTCTCTCTCTCTCTCTCTCTCTCTCTCTCTCTCTCTCTCTCTCTCTCTCTCTCTCTCTCTCTCTCTCTCTCGGATTAGAGCAAAGCTCAGCCACACTGTCGGTGTCTGTCGACTCCTGATCAACCCTTCAGTCAAAAAACCAGTCAGTGGCAGGTTTTCATCCCCGTCAAGTAGGGCGATTCTTGTCGGCACAGGCCCATTTGCTGCTGCTGCTGCTCCTGGAGATCTGAGGACACCCCGTCAACAAAATCTGGGACAGGTAGCCCCGAGAGAATCATGACCGACTTGTTCCAGATCATAAATGTGGGTACAACAGGCAGGAGGAAGGAGATTTCAAAAGTGTGAATGTGATGGGAATTCATGGCATCGTAAAAGGACAGAGAATTGTTGTCGTAGTCCAGCAGGACGCCTAGCCGCCGCAGCTGTAGGCTCGCCTCCACCAGCATCTCCTTACCATCATGCCGCACCAGAAAATTGTTATTGCAGCGCGAGAACACCCACGAGGACGAGTTCTTGCCACTCCATTCATTTTTTGGGGCTGATTTGTAAGCCACACCAACAGCGTACCTGGAGAGAAGAAACATTTGGAGAAGTTAGAAGTTTAAAATAAGGGTCGTCTTTAACGTCTCCACTGCGGTGAGGAGGTGGGAAGTGGTAGAAACTGCTTTGATGGATCTATTTTGAGGCCAGTTAATTAGAGAATATATTTACAACTTGAGTGTACACTCTGATGTTTGCATGTGTGTGTTTGCGTGTGTGTGTGTGTGTAGTTTGCATAACAACCTAGATTTAAACTCCCAGAAGAAACATATTTTGGCTTTCCACAGCTTATATAAGGCGTTTATGAGCGTGTGTTTCTCACCATGTGGAGGCTCCCAGCAGCACCTCCCAGTAGTGGCAACCGCTGTCGATGAAGACATTACCGGCCGCTCCATACGAGCCGGTGCCGCTGAAACGCTCCGGTGTGTGGCTCTTCTTCAGAGAGCTCTCGTCCTTCTCCATGGTCAGACAGTCGTTGGACAGACGGAGCTTCTTGTGGGCCGTCTTCGGGTCTAACTTGAATGGCTGGCCTGCAACAAGACAGATTCAGTCAAGGGTTTCGTTCTCCTTGGGACAGCTCTAACAGCAAATCTTTATTCTTGTAATCTCTATCCTTTGTTTAAATTAACGTAGAATTAGCTGTGCATTTTCCACTATAATCATTTGATAACATTCCCATTCTACATACATATGTTTAAACACAAATGTTAGATTTCTGTGTGGGTTTAAAAAAAAACCTTCCTAAAAGTGAAAGAGACAATCGCGACTCAACCTGTAACACACTCTGTGTTAGAACATCAGCATTTATGAGCCAGTAGGAGGCATTTTCAGAGCCAGGCCCCTCAAGTGGACTTCGTAATGACCATTTCTGTCACACAAATTCTATAAACACAGAAATGCTCCTCCTTTACTTTCTTGGTAACCACAGAGACACGGAGCCTGGTGAACTAGAACAAATTCTTGCTTTGCAAAGTTTGGTCTAGGAATGCTCCACTGGAACCTCCGCAGCCCATAGCAGCATTCTGGCTGGCCAATCACAGCTCTCTAGAGAGGTTTCAAACACATGGAGAGCTGTGATTGGGCCATAATAGTGGGCCAATCACAGCACTTTGTCTGCTTTGTGGGCAAATCAGGGCCCTTTATTCGTCTGGTGGGCGGGATGATGCAACACAGTGGAACAAGATGGTGACAGCTTGTTTGAAACAGCTTTTACGTCAATTTTGGACTATTTGGACTTGGGCTTTATTAGAATCAGGAGCAGATGGATGTATTTAAGTTATATATATTTTTAAAAAGGATGTATTTTAGCCTTAAGCCTGATTTATGCTTCTCTGTCTGTGTCAGTGCGGAGACACGCAACGCCATTATCCGTCCTTGCGTAGGGCTCCGGCAGGCACGCAAGTACGCACGGAGTCGAGCCCACTTTTTAAAATATCTGTCGAACGAGACGGATTACGCAAGCTTGTGATTGGTCAGGACACCGCTGTTGTTTACAGCGCCGCCATTGCAAAGAGAGCCGAGTTTAACTAGCTACAGACACGGAGAAGCTTGAAGAATACCTCGTGAAAAAACTCTAAAAATATGAACGTTTCATCCTCCCGTGACTGGAGGAGTGAAAAGATGCACAGCAAGCGTTTTATTTGTGGACGGAAATGACAGGAAACGTGGGTTTAGAGGTGGGGAGCGCCTGAAGGGGTGGGAGAATGAGAGACAAATATGCCCGTGTTAAAAGTCTCTTATATACACAAAAAACACAATATAAACACACTATCTTGGACCGATACATGACAGGATACCACAGAACAGCGCTACGCCCTCTGTTGTCCTGCCGGGCAATTGCTTTGCAACACTCTCCAGGAGATGGCGAAGTATGAGAGCAAAACGCTTCCGTCAATCCGTGCGTGTCTGTCCCTTGCGGAGCTGACGGAGAAGCATAAACCAGGCTTAACTCGACAGCGGACCACCTCGTTTACTGACATCCGTTGCAGTGAGTACGTCACGTTGTTTATTGTCCACTAGTATGCGGAGATCGTTTGAAAGTCAGCGATAAAACCCGCCCCCGTCAATGGAGCGTTGCCAGACAAAATATTACATTTATTTAGTCTGGCTTGCCAGGCTAGTTTCCTTCCGCAATGCCACCACAGTTTCTCTGGGGAATTCAGAGATTCTGCAAGATTCACTAAAACTGGAATAGATCAGATGAAGACCCAAACACAGACAGGAAGTGAGCTAGCGTCAACTTTCAGCTAATTCAGCATGTTTAGGTGATATTATGTAGTATTAATCATATAACAATCACCCAAAATATCAAATATTAGTGGGGTTCCTTCATTTTCGATGATGTGAATAAATTCTAAAACTGGAGGGAAAAAAATCATTTTGGGGTGATTTCATAAAATATTCCATGAAGTGACAGAAAATCTCCTGTATCATGTTGTTATTGGGATAAAAATGGCTTCAGCAGCATCTCTACTTCAAATGTTTTTTAGTTTGACTGAAAAGTTTAATAACTTTGCATGAGACAAATGCAAAAGTACCTCAAAGTAAAGCAAATTAAATATCTGATTTACATAAATTTAGATTACAATTAGCTTCTTTCTTATTGTTTTCCAAAAGAGCACTTGCTTTACTTTAATTAAAGTCTGATTGTATTGACCATAATTTCCCTGAACACAGGTTTTTGTCGGCCACAGAAGCTTTTGATGTTATAGAAGAATGTGTAGAAAATTGCCAGGTTTTGCTCCTTCGATTTCTTAGCAACATCAGCATTCACGAGAAATCACTGGACACTTTTAACTTCGTCGTGGTCTTCACCCTCTCCTGAGGAAATAGTCACACAGCAGCTGTTGCTTTCCTACATTCACCAGCAGGTTGCTTTCTGCTGTTCTGGATTATCACGCGGAATAAACACAGGAGGTATGACTCGGTCAAAAGGAGAAAGAGTTGTGAAAAAGAACAAAAGGAACCCAAAGCAGCGGCAAAAAAAGCAGGATAAACAAAACTTGGGGTGAAAAGTGCTTGCAGAGAACTCAGGGGGAGAAACAGAAGAGGAGACTGTTGGAATCACAAGGACGAGGCTCCAGACTTCAAAGCCCCACGCTGCCTTTGGTAAAAACATTTCATAACAGCAAAGGAAGTCACACGGCACTTTTCCTCTGTTCCTCCAGTCACACAGACTTGGAAATTAGCTGAAGGAAAGTGGTCTCCACTTCCACTGTAGTTGGCGGGGGCTGAAGCTATTCAGTGGAAATGCTTCTATCCGGCTGCAACAATTCAGTTTGCAGTGACACCAGTAATTTGGGTGTAATGGGTGGAAAATTGAGGGGGCAAAACTAGGTGAGTGGCAGAGAGAAAGAGAGGAAGGAGTTCAGAGGAGTGGGGATAATATAAGATTGTACGAACTGAGAATCCCTTCTAAGCTACCTCTCCATGTGTGTGTGTGTGTGTGTGTGTGTGTGTGTGTGTGTGTGTGTGTGTGCGTGTGTGTGTGTGTGCATGTCACATCCCCACCAGACCAGACATTAACTGTGGCACCTCTCATTTCATCTCTCAGCCTCTCAGTCTCCTACAGCTTAATGAGCAGCACAATGAGGACTCTGACTCCTCCTCTCCTCTCTTCTCTTTATCTGCTCTTCCCTTCATTCCCCTCCATTCTTTCATTCTCACCCCCTCTATCCTCTCCAGCCTCAGACACTCCTTTCCAATAATCTGCGTGGTGAGTGTGCTCTACTGCGTGTGCATATGAGACGACGAGGCCAGTGTGCTTCTGGCAGCCAATTACATTAATGCGCTCCCTTCTTTGAACTGCTTATCGCTGCCAGCGCAGCCATTTCTAAACACTGGGGCTCTGTCATGCCCTTTCAGGGGATGACTCCTGAGAGAGCCCTGGCTGCGCCCGAGGTTGGGGAAGGGGGACGCACGTGACATTAGAGGACATGCAGACACACACACACACACGCACATGGCACCAACCTACACAAACACAAGCACGGAGCACAGCAAACTGCCAAAAGGAGATGTTCTGAACCAGAGCCGGGTTCTTTAAAGTGGAGAGAGTCAAACATAATGAGTTCCTGCTGCAAATGAAAGAGATGACAGATGTAACATTACATGAACTACATAGAACAAATTGGTTTTATTTTTGACATGCTGGTAAATCGGACTGTTTCAATAAATCACACAGCCTGATTGTGCTTGCCGATGCTGTCAGAAAGGACAATAAGTACCTTAGCAATAACATGGTTCAATAGAAACAACAAACAGTACTTGTTTGGAGATCGTTTTAAGCAATGCCTCCTTTGTGTTTTCATAATGACGCTGCCACCTGCTGGTGTGGTATATGGATTTAGTGTTTCTTGTTAGAATTTTAGAATTTCAGTTTGGAGCAGTGGTTCCTAAACATCTCAGCTTTAGACCTGCAACAGTATTCAAGACACGTAACCCCAGATATCTCTGGTTTGATAATACAAACATGATTAAATCACTAATTCGTGGCCCATATTCATTTATAAACATTTATGACCTTTTAGTTGAGTTTTTGTAACAATTATGCCACAGCTTCAGTGTTTTTGTATTTAAATTTGATTTCTTGAAATCATCTCATGTTAACCTGCGTAGCTCCTAGCGACCCACAGAGGGGCCCCGACCTCAGCGTTGAGAACCACTTGCTTTGATGGAGACATCCATACAGCTGTCCATCCATCCATCTCTCTCCCCAGCAACCCTCTCCAGCTATGCCCTCCAGCTAGGGCCAGAATATACTTACTGTCTAACCTTGTTTGTGTTGGTGCAGACAGCAGTTGTCTTTGTTCACATACGTGCGAGCTTCAGGCTCGGATCTCATTCCAGCGAGAGATGCGGGACTGCAGCGTGATCTGCCTCATAGAAACCTGGCTATCGGACAAAGTACCGGACACCGCAGTACAACTACCAGGGTTCTCCGTGCACCGCGCGGACAGGTCTCAGGAGCTTACCGGGAAAAGCAGAGGTGGTGGTGTGTGATTCATAATCATCAACAGCTTGTGTGATTGCAAACGTGCACCCGGTCAAATCCTTCTGCTCTCCGGACCTGGAGTACCTGATGATTAAGTGCCGGCCATTTTGGCTACCGAGAGAATTCACAGCGGTGATTATTACAGCTGTTTACATTCCCCCACAAGCCGACACTGACCGAGCACTCAGAGAACTGTACAGCGCGATCAGCAATGAGGAAACCGTACACCCAGAGGCGGTGTTTATTACGATCGGGGACTTTAATAAGGGTAACCTGAAGAAAGTCTCACCAAAACTACACACACACATCCATTTCAATACACGTGGAGACCGGCTACTCGACCACTGCTACACCTCTTTCCGAGATGCGTACAAAGCCCTCCCCTGCGCCCCATTCGGCCAATCAGATCACCACTCCATCCTGCTTATACCTGTCTACAGACAGAAGCTGAAACGGGAAGCTCCAACCCTGAGGGCGGTGCATCGTTGGTCAAACCAATCGGAGTCTGCGCTGCAGGATTGTTTTGATCGGGCGGAC